ATCAACAGCAACGACAACAACAACTGCAAGATCAACAATAGCAGCAGCAGCAACAACAAATTCAACAATTACAACTAGTTCATCAACAACAAAAGCAACAACAACTGCAACAACAACAGCAGCAACAACACAAGTAACAACAACAATAGACTCGCCGCCATCCAGCATCGTCATCATCATCATCATCATCATCACCATCATCGTCATCATCATCATCATCATCGCCAGTAACATCATCACCATTATCACCAACATAACTATTATCACCACCATCACCATTATCACCATCATCAACATCATCACCATACCATCATCATCATCATCACCATCATCACCATCATCACCATCATCACCATCATCACCATATCGGCATCACCTCATCATCATCACCATCATCACCACCACAACCATCATTACCACCATCATCATCATTATCATCGCCATCATCATCATCAACTTGATAACCACCATCGTCATCATCATCATCATCGTCATCGTCATCGTCGTCATCCTCATCATCCTCATCATCATCAGCATCATCATCCGCATCTTCATCCTCATCCTCCTCCTCATCATCATCACCAGCATCATCATCATCAGCACCATCATCATCATCATCATCATCATCACCATCATCACCATCACCATCACCATCACCACCATCATCATCAGTATCATCATCCTCATCTTCATCTTCTTCTTCATCATCACCATCATCATCATCATCATCATCAGCCTCATCCCCTCCCTCATCATCACCCGACCCCTCAGCCCCAGCTCCAGCCCCAGCCTCCGTCTCAGCCTCGGCCTCGCCCTCCTCCACCGCAGGCCCCGCCCCCGAGGCCGCGCCCGCTGGACCGAGGCATTTCTGCGACGCGCGCCCCGCGCGCAGGAGCGCCGCGCCGCCCGCGGGGGAGGAGAGGATTGGAGGGGGGGGGCGGGGCCCGGGGGAGGCAGCGGCGGCCCTCCCCCCGGCACTGTTCACCCTTCGGGGGGCCTCCTGGGGGCTTCCCGTTGCCGCGGCCTCCTCCTCCTCCTCCTCCCCCTCCTCCTCGCGGCGCGGGGCCCGCCGAGCCATCGCCCCCAGCACCAGGAGGGGGCGCTGACCTAGGGAACCCTAGATTAAGGAACGCGGCCCCTGTCTTCCATGAGTGGAAAAAACTTTGATCTCCCGTCGAAAACCTGAGGAAGACCTAAGGACCTGAGATGAACTGTCAATCAACTAGGGAAAACTGAGCCCCTCCCAAACGAACAGGGTTCCTCCTTCAGCGCCCCCGACTGCACGACGGCTGCAGCCGCGGTTGTCCAGTGCTCGAGGCTCGGAAAGGTAATCCGACTTCTCAAAACGGACTGTCACATCTCCAGCAGTCTTGCGAGGACCGGGTCCAGGCCGTCGCACTGTCCGCTGTGGGTCGGGCCGGCCAACTGGCTCTGCCCTGCCCGCGAAGGCCCGGGGACCGCGTCCGAGTGGATCTGGGCCGGGCGGCAGAGCCGCCGTCGTCTCGTGTGGCCCTCCTCGGACAGGAGGGCGAAGGCAGGGCGGCGTGCGAGTGGCCGGGGGGCACGGGGGGTCGGATCTGAAAGAAAATACGTAGATCCATGAACTCTCTACGTAATTGCTGTAGATTCGACGAGAATTCAAATTCTGGGGTGAATCGTTATTTGTGGTCGATCCCTTACTCGAGTAGAGGACCCGTAAAACTGCATAAACATAAACTTTCGGAGCTCCGTCGCTCTCGTCCTCGTCCCGCCCCCTTCGCTCGCCGTCTCGCCGCCGCGGCCAGTGTGAGGAATTCTGGCGGGCCGCCGAAGCAGGGGCCCGGAGACACACAACACAAACAATAGACGCTAATCCCAAGATTCCCGATGTGTTCCACATTTCCCAGATGATCGTCTTCCCCTCCATATCCTATTTTTCCATTGTTCCCAGGGAATCCACAGCTATGCGTGTCTGTGTTTTCCCCTCCTGATTCTCGGGGCCGAGGAGGGGAGGCCTGGGCGCGGAGGAGGGCAGAGTCAATCAGCACCGAAACGGGAGGTCGGATCGAAACGAAATGGGCTTCGGATCGAAAGCTGCCTCGGCACGGAGTCGAAACCGAATCCGATCGGCTGCGCAAGGATGCACAACAACGCCATGTAAGCACGGGGCCGCATCGGATGGCCCGAACGTCGGAATCGAATCGAATCGGGCCAGCCCGAGCCCATGTCGACTCGGATCGATCAAATCGAAGTGGGCACTGGAGGTGGGTGGGAGCGCCGGGGAGGAGGAGGAGGAGGAGGAGGAGGAGCAGGTAGGAGGGGGAAGGGGAAGGGGGCAGGGAGGGAAGGAGGAGGAGGAGGAGGAGGAGGAGGAAGAGGAGGAGGAGATGAGGAGGCGAGGAGGAGGATGAGAGGAGGAGAGGAGGGAGGGAGGGAGGATGAGGAGGAGGAGGAGGAGGAGGGAGGAGGAGGATGAGGAGGAGGAGGAGGAGGGAGGAGGAAGAGGGGGAGGAGGAGGCGGAGGGGGAGGGAGGAGGGGAGGAGGAGGAGGAGGAGGAGGAGGAGGAGGGAGGAGGAGAGAGGGAGGAGGGGAGGAGGAGGAGAAGAGGAGGAGGAGGAGGAGGAGGAGGAGGAGGAGGAGGAGGAGGAGGAAGAGGAGGAGGAGGGGAGGAGGAGGAGGAGGGGAGGGGGAGGAGGGGGAGGAGGAGGAGGAGGAGGAGGGAGGAGGAAGAGGATTAGAGCTGGGTTAGAGCTGGTCAAACGGTTAGCAACGTCCCGTGGATTTGCTACCGCGGGAGCGGGGCCGCTTCGCACGCCGCGGCCCGCCCCGACCGGAGCCACACCGGGGAGGAGGAGGAGGAGGAGGAGGAGGAGGAGGAGGAGGAGAGGAGGCGGAGGAGGAGGAGGAGGAGGAGGAGGAGGAGGAGGGGAGGAGGAGGAGGAGGAAGGAGAGGAGGAGGAGGAGGAGGAGGAGGAGGAGGAGGAGGAGGAGGAGGGGAGGAGGAGGAGGAGGAGGAGGAGGAGGAGGAGGAGGGGGAGGAGGAGGAGGAGGAGGAGGAGGAGGGGAGGAGGAGGGGAGGAGGAGGAGGAGGAGGAGGAGGAGGAGGAGGAGGGGGGGAGGAGAGGATGGAGGAGGAGGAGGAGGAGGAGGAGGAGGAGGAGGAGGAGGAGGAGGAGGAGGAGGAGGAGGAGGAGGAGGAGGAGGAGGAGAGGAGAGGGGAGGAGGAGGAGGAGGAGGAGGAGGAGGAGGAGGAGGAGGAGGAGGAGGAGGAGGGAGGAGGAGGATGGAGAAGGAGGAGGAGGAGGAGAAGGAGGAGGACGAACAAGAGGGTGAGGAGGAGGAGGAGGAGGAGGAGGAGGAGGAGGAGGAGGATTAGAGCTGGTCAAACGGTTAGCAACGCCCCGTGGATTTGCTACCGCGGGAGCGGGGCCGCTTCGGGCCGCCCCCGAGCCACACCCCACTCCTCGCACGCCTTGGCAGCCCAGCTGCCACTGCCTGCGTTCTGTTCTCGCACGAGCCGGGTCCATCACTGCAGCTACATGTGGCTCGCTCGAGACTAAACTTGGGCTCCAGCTTACCCCCCGCTTCTCGCAGAAGGCTTGCCCAGAGCTCTCGACGAAAAGGGCACCAGTTTCACTCCCCCCCGCTACTCGCAAGAGGCTGGCCCAGGAGCTCCCCCCTGCCATGTCGCGCCGACGCCCTCGGGGTGCACCGATCCACTGCCCCGATTGTTCGCCCCAGCACTCGTTCCGTTCCCACACGAGCTGATTCTAGCGCTGTACCTGAAGAGTGGCTTGCTCGAGACTTGCCTTGGGCTCCAGCTACGCCCCCCGCTGATCGCATGAGGCTCCTCCAGAACTCTCGACGCAATTGGGCTCTAGCTTCACCCCCCGCTTCTCGCAAGAGGTTGGCCACAGAGCTCCCCCTGCCGCTTCGCGCCGAAGCAATCGAGGTGCACCGATCCACTGCCCAAATTGTCGCCCCTGCACTTTTCGCACGCGCTGCTTCTGGCGGAGTTAGCTAGAAAGCCATCGGGCTCTAACTTCACCTCCCCCTTCTCGCAGCCGTTTTCTCGCAGCGCCAGCGTCCGCTGCCACTGCTTGCCCCCCTTCTCGCACGGGTCGCTCTGAGCGCTGTAGCTGATCGTAGCCCACCCACACGCTTTGCAGCGCCAGCGTGCGCTGCCGCTGCGCGCACCCATTCTCGCACGGACTGCTCCCAGCGTTGTAGCTGATCGTGGCGCATCCGTTCGTGCTCGCTTTCCCCTCGATCCCAGCACTGTAGCTGATCACGTCGGGCTCTACCTTCGCCTCTCGCTTCTTGCAAAGGGGCGTTGGGTTTAGAGGCGGGCTCCAGCTTTGCCGTCCACCTCTCGCATAGTAGTGGTATAGGGCTAGACTAGATTGGCCTCTGGCAGCGTAGCATGCCCTGATCGCCGCACTGTGATTGACGGTATCGGGCTCGACCTTCGACGGCCACCAGCTTGGCCTCCAACGTCGGATGCGGAGTCGGCTGTAGCTGACGGCGTTGGGCTCGACCTTCACCATCCCGCTTCTCGCACTGAGGTGTATGGTCTGGCTCCCGCTTGTGACCCTGAAGCCAGCGCTGTAGCTGCTGACGTCGGGCTCGTCCTTCGTCTTCTCGACGGATTGCCTGCACTCTGACCGCGGCGCCGCAACTGTTGGCGCCCGGTTTGCCAGGAGGTGGAGGAGGGGGAGGAAGGAGGAGAGGAGGGGGCGGAGGGGGGCGGGCTTCCTGGCGGCTGCGCGCTCGCCTGGTCTCAGCGTTGCAGCTGATGACGTTGGGTTCCGCGCTGCTTCTTGACTGAGGCCTGGCCTCAGCATTTCTTCTTGACGCCTCGGGCGCGCAACGCCACTTCGAAGTTGGCGCGACACATCGTCCAGGAGGCCCGATGCAGGGGAGGCCGCTCGGACGCGGATAGAGGAGAGGGAGGAGGAGGAGGAGCAGGAGGAGGAAGAGGAGGAGGGAGAAGAGGAGGAGGAGGAGGAGGAGAAGAGGCAGGAGGATGGGGGGGCAGGCGGGCTCAGCGCCCGGCGGGGCCGCCGCCGCTAGTGCCTCGGCGTCCGCTCGCGGAAGCGCGCGAGCCGCCAGCTGGGAGGCACTCGCCCAGGCGGGGCGGCGGTCCTCGGACGGGCGGCAAGCGCCACGTACCTCCTCCTCCTCCTCCTCATCATCATCCTCCTCCTTCGCGTCCTCCGCCTCATCCGCCTCCTCCTCCTCCGCCTCCTCCTTCTCCTCCTCGTTGTAAGTATTATTGTTAGTGCTACTGTTGTCGTTGAACTCTCATTCCTAAACAAAATCTCATTCTAAAAAATCAAAGTGAGGGGCCCGAACGGTCATTCACCGTCCCTGAGTGCGTGGCTGAAGTGGGATTCGGCGATGCGGAGTATTATTGTTGGTTTTGTGTTTGTGCGTTCGGTTGCTTGCTTGCTTGCTTGCCTGTGTTTTGTTTGCCTGCGTGTGTGTGTGTGTTTGGTTGGTTGTTTGGTTGTTTGCTTGTGGTTGTTGTTGCTGTGATGGTGGTAGTGGTTGTTGCTGTTGGTGTTGTTGTGCTTGGTGTTGTTGCTGGTGTTGTTGGTGGTGTTGCTGTTGTCGTTGGTGGTGGTGCTGGTGGTGTTGGCGTTGCTGTTGATGTTGCTGCTGTTGATGTTGCTGCTGTTGATGTTGTTGATGTTGGTGTTGTTGTTGCGTGTTGTTGCTGTTGCTGTTGCTGCTGTTGTTGCTGCTGCTGTTGCTGTTGGTGTTGCTGCTGTTGTTGTTGGTGTTGTTGGTGATTTCGTTGTTAGTGCTGTTGTTGTTGAGCGCTCATTTCTAGAGAATAATTATGGTTGGTCACCAGAAACGGTTCCGCGAACGCTCGCCTCGACGACAATAATATTGTCTTTGAAACCGAGGCTCCCGCGCGAGCGTTGACTTGGGTGCAATGTGTGCACCTGGAGGCCAGGATACGACGACGACGGCTCCCGCTCGATACTTCATCGCAGTGTACCCGGAGACACCCTGGCTAGAGAGGCCCTCGAACTCAGGAACGGCGCTCTCGCTCAAGACCTACTCGCAATTCAATCAAGTTGGCGGAGGCCCAGCCACGCTGACAAGGGCTCCCGCTCGATACTTCCTCACGATTTACTCCCGGAGCTCCTGGCCAGGAAGGCCCCCGAACTAGGAACGGCACTCTCGCTGGAGACTTTCTCATGATTCAATCAAATTGGTGGAGGCCCAACTACTACGACAAGAGCTCCCGTTCAATACTTCCTCAAGATGTATTCGCAGAGGTCCTTGCTAGAGGCCCCCGAACTCAAGAGTGGCGCTATCGTTCGAGACTTTCTCGAATTTCAGGCAAGTTGGCGGAGGCCCAAACACGGCGACAGGGGTTCCCGCTGGACATGTCTCAAAATGTATTCCGAGAGACCCTGGCCAGAGAGGCGCCCGAACTCAGGAACGGCGCTCTCGTTCGAAAGGTCCTCGCATTTCGGTCTGTGACCGACAAGAAAGTGATCCCTCCCGAAAGGGAGTGCGATCGAAGACGAAGTGGGCGAGTATCGAGGGATGGCGTATACAGAATGCAAGGCACGCGTACCAGTAAGAGCGAACAGCCTGAAAATGAGTGGTGTTGTTCATGTTGTTGATGTTGATGTTGTTGTGTTTGCTGTTGTTACCACTATTGCTGCTGTTGTCGTTGTCGTTGTCGTTGTCGTTGTTGGTGGTGGTATTGATGCTGGTGTTGTTGCTGGTGGTCATGGTGTTGTTGGTGTGTTTGGTGTTGCTGCTGTTGTTGTTGGTGTGGTTGCTGTTGCTGTTGCTGTTGTTGCTGCCGCTGTTGATGTTGTTGTTGTTGGTCTTCATGTTGCTGGTGTTGTTATTGGTGTTGATATTGATGTTGTTGTTGTTACTGGTGTTGATGTTGTTGTTGTTGTTTGGCGTCGTCTCCCCCGCGACCCACCCCGCGACACGCCCGCGACCCACCCGCGACCCACCCCGCGACCCGCCCGCGACCCACCCGCGACATGGCCAGCGACCCACCCGGGACCCACCCCGCGACCCGCCCGCGACCCACCCACATTGCTTTAACGAAAAATCGGCACCTGAGGCGGGCTCGCTGTATAATTCATAAAAATTAGGCGCAAGCGGCGGACTTCTTCAATGCCTTGCAGACTGCAGACGTCCCCGCCGCCTCCATCACTCTTACCCGCGACTGCGGGGTGCTACGAATTATGTTGATACCCCCTCCAGCGACCATTCAATTTGTCAGTTGAAATCCTCCTCCCGGGGCTCGCAAACTTGTTTTTTACACGGGAAAATCTTGAGGCTCAGATTGGGCCCCTGGCCCACGACTTACAACAACAACGACAACAACAACCACAATCAGTTTAAGACTGTTCGCTTTTAGTGGCACGCGTGTCTTGCATTCCGTATACCCCAACCCTAGATACCCGCCCACTTCGTCTTAGATTGCACCCCCTTTTCAGGTAACAAAACTTCCTTGTCGGCCACGAGTTGAAGTGCGAAGAAGTCTCGAGCGTGAGCGCCGTTCCTGAATTCGGGGGCCTCTCTGGCCAGGGGCTCTCGGAATACATATGGGAAAATATCGAACGGGAGCCTTTTGTCGCCGTGTCCGGGCCTCCACCAACTTGCCTGAATTACGGGAAGGTCTCGAACGAGAGCGACGTCACCTGAGTTCGGGGGTTTTCTCGGCCAGGGGCTCTCAGAGTAAATCGTGACGAAGTATCGAGCAGGAGCCCTTGTCAGCGTGGCTGGGCCTCCGCCAACTTAGTTGAATTGCCAGGAATTCTCGAGCGAAAGCGCCGTTCCTGAGTTCGGAGGCCTCTCTGGCCAGGGCGTCTCGGGGTCAATTGTGGGGAGGTATCGAACGGGATCGGCCTCCAAGGGCCCACAGTTAGGGTCAAGACAACGCTCGAGCGGGAACCTCGTTTTCAGAGGAAAGAGGCGAGAGCGCGCGGAACCGTTTCCAGAGATCAACCAGAATTATTCCCTAGAAATGATGCAACAACAACAATCAGTTTAAGACTGTTCGCCCTTATCTGCTCGAGTGCCCAATAACGCGTATTGCCCAAACCCTCGATACCCGCCCTCTTCGTTTTCGATCGAACCCCTTTTGGGGGTATACCTTTCTTCCCTGCAGGCCGGGCCCCGGCAAGCGGCGGGGCGGCCGCGGACCGTCGGCCTGGCCAGCGGCAGCGCTGATCGGCGGGGCGGCCGCGGACCGTCGACCCGACCCCAACAGGGACGGACAGGGGACCGACCACTACGACAACGACGACGACGACGACGACGACGACGTCAAAGACGACGGCGACAACGACGACGACGGCGACGACGACGACGAGCGAAAGCGAGAGCGAGAGAGAACGGCAGCAGGGCCACGGAGGACACGAAGCAGGCCACGAAGGGCGACAGCGGGGACACGAAGGAAATGCGTATGGGGCCACGAAGAGCGCGAACGAGCGGGGGCCACGAAGGGCAGATAATGCGGGGCCACAGAAGGCAACGATGGGGCCACTGAAGGTAGCAACTGGGCCACGTAGGACAGTGACGGGGCCACAAACGGCGACAGCGGGGCCACGAAGGGCATACGTATATTGGGCCGCGGAGGGCAAGGACGGGGCCATTGAGGGCAGCAACGGGGCCACGACGGGCAGCGAGGGGGCCACGAAGGGCGACAGCGGGGCCACGAAGGACATGCATATGGGGCCACAGCGGGCGACTGCGAGCGGGGGCCACGAAGGGCATACATAGATGGTGCCACGAAGGGCAGCGAGGGGGCCACAAAGGGTTGCAACGGGGCCACGAAGGGCTGCAACGGGGCCACGAAGGGCAGCGAGGGGGCCACGAGGGGCTGCAACGGGGCCACGAAACAAAGCGAGGGGGCCACGAAGGGCGGCAACCGGGCCACGAAAGGCAGGGAGGAGGCCACGAAGGGCTGCAACGGGGCCACGAAAGGCAGCGAGATCCCGACTCCTAAATGATCTGTGAGGGAGTCCGAAGAGTGAGCGCGACTCCTGGGTGCCTGGGTGTCGGGCGGGAGCGCGGCGCTTGACTAAATTACAAAAAGTTCCAACGCAAGGGCGCTATTTTTTTGTAAATTGCAAGCAAATTTCCAGCGAGAGCGCGACTCCAGAGCGCCGGGAGAGCGATTCCTGAATAAATTGTAAGGAAGTCCCAAGCGAGAGCGCGATTCCTGAATAAAATGCGAGGAAGTCACGGGCGGGAGCGGGGGTCCTGGGTAAAGTTCGAGGAAGTCTCAGGCGGGAGCCGTTGTTGTTGAAACCCGGGGGCCAGGGGCACAGTTTGAGCATCAAGAATTTTTCTCTGAAAAAACAAGGTGCGAGCGTCGAAGGGCACACTTTGATTGAGAAAACAATATGCACCGGTGGGGGGGATCAACCATAATTATTCTTCCGAAGTGAGAGTTCAACAACAACAACAACAACAACAACAACCACCACAACAACCACAACAACAACAATCATTTTAACACTGTTCGTTCTTATCTGCTCGCGTGTCATTCAAAATGCATATCCCAAACCCTGGATACGAGCCCTCTTCGTCTTCGATCATACCCCGTTTTGGGGGGTATATTCATTCCCTGCAACGCGTGGTTGGTGAAGCCCTTGAAAACGAAGTGTAGCAGATAACGGGGGAGAATGAGGACGAAGGGATCGGAGGAAGGGGGGGGAGAAGCAAGCGAAGGGGCCACGAAGGGCAGCGAGAGGGCCACGAAGGGCGACAGCGGGGCTACGAAGGGCATGCATATGGAGCCACGACGGGCGACTGCGAGCGGGGGCCACGAAGGGCATAAAATGCGGGGCCACAATGGGCAGCGAGGGGGCCACTGAGGGCAGCAACGGGGCCACGAAGGGCAGCGAGCGAAGGCGACCGCGGAACCAGTACGGGCAGCGAGGGGCATCGAAGGCGGGCGAAGGGCAGCGAGCGGCGACTGCAGTCCCTAACGGGCTGGTCGGGCGGGCAGGCCCAGACGGGCGGGTCGAGCGGGCGGGTCGCTGAAGCGTAAACTCTGCTTGAACCGCCAGGCAATATGTAGCGGGAGCGCGATTCCTGAGTGTCGAGGAGCGGCATCTGAATAAATTGTGAAGGAGGATCAGGCGGGAACCGCGATTAGGTGGCAAGTTGCGAGGAAGTCCCAAGCGAGAACGCGATTCTTCAATAAATCGTGAGG